CCTCCCCGCGGCGGCGGCGCAGCGCTGCGGCCGGTCTCGGTGCGCGCTTGGGCCGCAGACACCCGAGAAAACTCGGCAGGATTCGCTAAGGGTCCTGCTGGCTCTCTAGGAGCGTTAGCAAAGAGGCAAGCGCTCTCAAACGGAGACTTTTTCGTGCAAAATGGGCTGGCGGAGAAGATACTATTGACCGATGTGTGTATCTTTTCTAGCCTCGTTTGACTCGTTAAATGCAGGAGCAGTGCCGTGTACAGGGCGGCATTCTGGCTTCTGAATGCAGCTTGGCTCCCGGGCTGGGGCTGGGGCTGGGGCTGGGCAGGTGCCCCCTAAGCCTACAGACAGTGATGCCCAACAGCAGAGCCGGGGCCTGGAGCGGGCAGAGAAGCAGGCCTCCTAAGCCAAACAGGCGGCCACCGAACCGTGTTTCACACGGCTGACGGGGGTGGCTTTGAGCTTTTTCATAACGCCAGTGATCGTGAGGATTTAGGGCACGAGAATACAAAACCCGTCACACCTCCAGTCAAAGATCCCGCTGCAGCAGCTGGGAGCTTTCAGCAAAGCTCCACAATTGCAACGACATGCAACCGGCTTAAAGTGAATTAATTATCACACCTAACAAGCCCCGAGCGTCGGGAGGCTGCTGTCTGGTTAACTCAGTGGCTCCATGGTGCCACCAGGACCCAGATTTTATATTGAATCTTTTTTCTGCTGTCATTCTCAGCCTACGGATCTCACAACTCCAGCTGGTTCCCTCGCAGTCCCTCCAACTCCCACGGTCTCAAGTCCAAAGAAAAACAAACTGACCTCGGCCTTGCTGTCTCTTGCTGAGAACTCCTCCTGCGCCCTCCCTTCACGCTGGGAGACTTCCTCGCACTGGCTACATTTGTATCACATACTCTCACCTAATCCCCTTCCTGCCAAGACTGGGACTGTATTAGCTGCTATACCCAACTCCATCCCCATATTTGAAATTTAAAAAAATAAGTATTTTAAGCATTTTTGAAAGCTGAGAGCTCTGTTCCTTACGTTAACCCACCCTAGACCATGGCCAGGTTTCCAGATCTCACCGCCATAAAACTAATTTGACCTATAGCTTGTATACAGTACTTGTATTCAGTACCTGACATTAATTGTACATGATTATATATTGACGTAAATCGGAATTGTGTAAGTTTGGCCATTAATAATGTCATACATCACAGGTATTTATGACCGCGTAGTAAAATGACACTTCCATATCTGAATCTGGAGTCGAGGGGCTGACAAGCATCCCAGTGCAGGGACCTGAAGCTCCACCCAAAACGGCCACCTCCATCTACCTCTTTACAGGGCAGGAGTCCTATGCTTTACTCTGAAAATCGGTAATTTATGCTGCCTCAATTTGTCTATAAAACATGTAACTCTCATTGATTCCCAGCTCACTTTCGCAGCTTCTTTAACCATTGATTTTTAATTCGTTTCATCCTCACAATCTGCTCATCTCCGGCATAATCATAGTTAACATTTTCTGCCTTAACTTTAGCTCTGTGTTCTGGTCGTTGTTCACGTAGAAGAAACTCGATGTGGAAGGAAAGAGCAGGCTCAGGGAGACAGGGTTAAAACCTCGACTCTGCCCTTCACTAGATAGGTCAATTTGGATGATTTGCTTAACTTTTGAGTAATCCCGTTACCTTATCTGCAAAACAGGGATGAAACTCCCTTTGCAGGTTTGTTGAGAGATTAAAGGACACAATGCAGGGAAAGTCCTGGCAGATGTTTAGGCTGTCGGTAAAGTGTGGCCATTAGTGACAGCAATGCCCCACTCCTTCCCGATCTTCTAAAGCTTCACCTCAATAACTCAAAGGGTATTTATTAAACATCCATTTACCAAGTAAAATGTGAAACCCTAAGGATTCAAAGGTAAAGCTTAAGCCTCATTCCTCAAGGAACTAACATCTAGTCAGAGAGACAAGTCTAAACACATACTTTCAATAAAACAGGAATAAAGGAAACGTGCGGGCTGCACAGAAATAGATCAAGCAAGGTGGGAGGATGTCAGGGGACGCTCTCGTGACAGCACATGTGAGCTTCGTTTTGAAGCAGAGAAAAATTTGACCTTGTGGAGAAGGAAACAAATGGCCACAGGATTCAGGACGTGCAGGACTGAAAGATATAACAGGTGCCTGGCAGAGTTTCAGGAAAGCAGCTCCAGGAGGTGGAACAGTGTGAACTGGTGTAGAGGGACTGGCTGAAGGGCTGCAGGGGTTTACCAGGGACTCTGATACACTGGAAATATTTTTTTCTAGATATGGTGGTTCCCTTCTTAGCCTTTCATCTGTATACATACATTTTAACACTGTTTTCACATGTATGACATGAATCGCAATAAAAATATTAAAACATTTTGAAAGATAGGTTGGTGTCAACTTGTAAAGAACTTTATTTATCAAGATAAGGAATTTATCCTGAAGATAAGAACAAGGCAAAATGTTTTTTTAAGGAAAACATTCTCAGCTCTGTGTTCTAAGATGGGGTCGACAGCATGGTAGAGACAGACTGCAGTGGGGAGAAGCCATGCTCAGAGCCCCCCCAGTCTGGCAGGGGTGACCAAGGCCTGGCAGGCCCACTGGGTGTAAGGAGGGCTCAGACAGGGGAGCAGAAGTGGATGGGCCAGGTTTTGATGACTCGTTGAAAGTGATGAGCAAGGGGAATTTAAGATAGTGTTTGCATTTATGGATCAGGAAATTCCACTAACCTTCACTGAATAGTAAAAAAATAGCATCCTGAAGGAAAGAGCTCCAGGTTCTATCCCCAGGGTCTTGTGTAGCCCTGATTCTACCAGGACTTCCTTTGAGTCTGTGGACTACCCTTGCATCTGTCCAAAATGTTCACTCTTTTGTCATAGTGTAAGTTAGTCTGGATGGGTTTTGTTACCTGCAACAGAGTCCTGAATAATATGATAGCGAAAAGATTCCACTCATGAAATTACCAGAAGGCAGAGAATTTATATCAAAACTCAGGCTTCACAGGTGGAGAAAGAGCTTTGTTACTGTTAGGACACGACTTCCAGGATACAGGAAACACGTGGGGTGGGCCTTGGTCAGGCTCAAGGTGAGGAGAAGGTTTCATTCCAAGTCCCCAAGACCCAAAGCAAACTCATGGTTCCCCATCCCCAGCTACACCCTCTCTCTCATGAAAGCCCAAGTCCCTGGACCCTAACCCTCACCTGAACAGTGGCCAGGAACAGGCAAACTCTTCCCAGGCTTACACAGTAACTAACAAGAGAGTGTGTGTAGCTGTGAAGTCTTGAGTTACAGGCCCGACATGATGTTTCTACGGTTACTCTTCTCACCACTGAGGTTAGGCTAGCTGTCTCCACCCGGTTTACTTTCAGTGACTGTCACTGGGCTCCCACTGGCCCCCGATGTTGGCTTGGGTTTCACTTGGATGGGTCGCTGTAGAACACACCAAAACCAACAGTGGTGGGAGCTGAAGAAGCAGAGAATTCCTGAGGGAAAAAATGACAATGTTGAAGACGCAAATAACTACAACACTTGGTGTCAGTTAAGAAGCCCACAGTTTTTCAGCAGGCTTAGCAAATGAGTGTGGGGTCCAGGGACCTAAAGTGCAGATTACTCTGTCACCTCATTTCTCTACTCCACCCACCCTTCACCCTCCTACAATCGATCCTATAAATTCTCATCTCCCAGACATGGTTCTTAATGAAGGTAGAGGAGAAAAGGATTCTATTTTTCTATGAAGGCAAAATTCTAACATAGAGTAGGAGCCACTGCAATAAGCAAATGAAATAGATCAAGTAAGGTGGGACCAAATCCATACCCAGAAACTAGCAGTACTCAAGGGAGATCGCTGAAACCCATAGGCATGATTGTTCTGGATTCAGGACCTACCCCAAGGACTCACAAAGCCTCAAGAACACTCACCAGATAAGAAAAACAGTATGATGCTGACTGAAAGGATGACAGAGGGATAGAGAAAGGTGATTTTCACTTCCTTGAATATGTTAGTTACTTTCAAAATATGCAGAGAGTGCAGCAGTAATGCAAGGAGCACACAGATACCTGTTAGGGGACAAAAAGGGGGG